TTGAAACTCTGAGTCGGTCTGCCAGTGTCTCATTTCTCTCTTACTGTGTTTGAACAAATGTCAATTGTCAACCCCTGACAATATGAAAGCCAGTAGAAGCAAGAAAGAATATGTGATGTGTGTAAATGAGAAGAAGACAGGTGTAACACTGAAGCTGTAAAAACTAGCATCAAAAGCAACAGACAATGCACAAAAGAAGTGAAGAAGAAAGTGCAGGCTGTGTGGGGTGGGTGGATAAACATATTGGGGTGATTTGTGACAGAAGGACAGCAGCAAGGGTGAAAGGTAAGGTTTACGAGATGATACCGCTATGATACTGCTATATGGTTTCCAAATAGTGGCACTGAAACAAAAAATACAGGATGTTGAGCTGAAGATGCTCAGATTTTCATCAGGAGTGAACAGGATAGACAGGACTAGAAATTAGTAAATCAGAGGGAAAGCTAAGGTTGAAGACAAAATTAGAGAGACTAAGATGTTTGGGTGTGTGCAGAGGAGGGAGAGTGAATATTTTAGATGTTGAATATTTAGCTCCCAGGCAGAAGAAAAAGAAAAACACTGACGTTTCATGAATGTAATAAAAGAGGACATGGAGGTTAGCATGAAAGATGAGAATGCATAAGGCAAATTTGAAACACTAATGATCCCTAAATGGTCTGAAAAAAATAAGCAAAATTCTTGAGCCAACCCTCATTTCCTTATAGTTTATTTTTAAGGAGCCAGACTTTATTTCTTTCTTTAAAGTATTTCTTCTTAGCTTCTCTAAGGAGGGCAGCCGAAAGAAGACTACATGCACCCACTGCACATTCAAAATCTCTCAGACTAACACAGTCTGAGGCATAAGAAACTTATATGGCCATGAACAGAATACAGTGGAACCCCGACTTACGAAATTAATTCGTTCCAGGGGGTCCTTTCGTAAGTCAAAATTTTCGTAAGTCGAAGCACCTTTTTCCATCGCCTTTTGAGTGAGGCGATACTGGCTGAAGACAAAGTTCCTAGTGGAGGAGGAGGTGGCAGAGGTTGAAGAAAGCATACATATGCATGCATACATACGTGTACATGTACATAACATTATGGAATTTAATTAAATTTTTTACAATTTTCTATTTTATCTATTTCGTTAAGTGGACATTTTGCCACGGGCAGAAATATTGCCGTTACTTGAATTTTTCATTAAATGGGGTCTTCGTAAGCCAGGGTTCCACTGTATATTTAATTTAAGACATGCTTTAAGTTTTAAATTGTAGAACTGACTTGAGTAATATGTACTGCACTGAGTGGAGCATTAGTCATCCATTTACTTGTCTGTTTTATGCTGGCTCTAAGGTAAGTTTCATGTTCATAGTTTGGCCTCATAGTTTTCAGTTCATAGCTTTCACAGTTCAGAGCATTCATAGTTTCCTGCTGTGTAATTTAACTAGGCACTGTATATAAAATACTGTGTTCACATTTGAGTCTACACCCACTGCCTGGCCCTCTCGGCCGTAACAAAGGCAATCATTTCTTTAAGCCATTTGCTTACAAATGATTCCTAACCTCTAATTTGGATGTGGGTGGAGTGCCTACAGAAGTCCATCATTTTACTCTCATAGTAGATATTTAAGTTTCTATTTATTTCTTTTGAAAGAAGTCCACAGAACATGAAACAGAACAAGATCAGAATGAAACGACATCCACAAAAGCTAAAATCCCCCAAAATCAGAAACCAGTTCAAAAAGATTTGGACAAACTGCACAGCTAAAACCAAGCTGACCTCACCTGATGCCACATGCACATAGAGCTGACCACGTTTACTTCCATATGTGTTAGATGCTTCACACTGATAAAGGCCATTTATATCAGAGGTCAGGCTCAGCAGTTGTAGCTTTGCACCGTCTATTTTGACAGAAGACTCCAGCAAAGACTGGCCAGATCTGAAAAACATGAACGAGACCTGAACGTGAAATGTACAGAGAGGGCAGAAAAAACTGAGTTGTGCTAAAAGCTAAACATGTATGTTTTATAAATTATGGTCGAGGAGGACATTGAGTGGATGGATGCAGGTGAGACTTGGAAGTAACCCTCGTGTCTCTTTGAAACTGCTTTGCATGACATGTGCTTCTTATCACCAAGCACGTGTCATGTGCTTGGTGATAACATTATTTCCTGGGGGTTGGCTGTAGCTCAGGAGGTAGAGAAGGTCATCTACTGAATGGAAGGTTGATGACTTGATCCCTGACTCCCCCAGTCTGAGTGCCAGATATCCTTGGGCAAGATACTGACCAGATACTAACAAGTTGCATCCATTGGTGTGTGTAAATGTTAACTAATGAGCACTTAAAAAGCATAGAAGAAAGTGCTTATGTGAAAGAGTGAGTATAAAGCGCTTTGAATGCTCTAGGAGAGAAGAAAAGCACTATATAAGACTTAGTGCCTTTATTATTACCACTCCCATGAAATGAAATATTTCAACTGGAACCAATATTCAAACTACTTTACCTGCTCCAGATAAAGTTTGCATTTGGTTTGGCTTCTGTCACACACTCGAACGAGTCCTCTGAAATCATTCTAATGTTCACTTCTGTGGGAGAAACTGCAAAAAGAAAGAAAGAACAAGAGACCTGTGTTAATTCTTAACTGAGTACATCTTAATAAGATCAAACAACTTTTCATATATATTTGAATCAAAACAAAGAAATGCATTTTGGGTACTTTACACTTAGTTTCAAGCAGAGATCATTTTGTACACATTCAAGCATGTTGGTGCTCTGTTTAAAAGCATGGCCTTTATGAGGATTTCTACCAGAAATATAACACCACAGACGAACTGTGTCATTTAAAAAAAGAACCTACAATACTGGAAGAGCATGCTTTGAAAACAGTCTCTAGTGTTTTTGCTTCACCTTCTGCCATTTCCAATGTGTGCTGAATGGATCTCAAACAAATGAAGTCATTGTTAAGCTTTACAAACAGGTTTAAGCTGGTCTGTGCACCGTGGTGTTGCCTCAACTGGTGAGAGTTAATTTTTAACCTGAACATCTGCACTCTTACCGAGAACAAAACTCATTCAAGGCAGCTGAAATATCCAAATTCTGGGTAGACATTATTCATTTTGTGATGCTCTCAAGATTCAAATTATCGAACTGGTGTCAAAAAGGGATGCACATTATTTCACACAAGCAGTGTAGATGTGGAATATACAGCTGCTAGTAAGTAAAAAAAACACAGTTGGACTTTGATTAAAGATACATAGTTTTAGTTCTACTTTTCCCCTACCAAAGCCGTGCTGATACACACACTGATGCACAACTTTACTGAGTTTTCTGCATTTCAGCTGAACTGGGTGGTTCTGTCTCAGGACACAGATCAGGTTCCATTACTCGTCTCATCTTTCGCAAAATCTTTATCCAGCTATTGTGACAACATGAGTGAATGACAGTAGCATGAGAACAAGGATAAAGCTGGTATCCATACTGGGAAAAACAATAAATCAGCTCATGAACAAAGAAAAAAAGCAAAACCATGTCAACTCTTAACACTAAAGGCTACCTAGAAGTATGAGGTTTATGTCTGCTTTTGTTCAAACCAAAGATGCAGGGTATAGTTTTAAAAAAGTGCAGCTATTACTTTTATTTTATCCATAATTTATGAAAATATTTCTGTTGCATTAGTAGATAATAAAGATTAACTGGTAACAAGTAAGTAAGTTCTATAGTATTGCTTTGCAGTTGCAGTTGCAGTTTAATCAGTTAATCCTGGGTGTGCCTGTGTACTTTTAATATTTGATTAAATAATTAACGTTCTTCAGTCAACACCAACACAAAAGAAGACAAATAATAAACTACATGAACAGCTGACACTCACAGTAGATCTGTATAGTGAAGAGCAGACTCTCTTCTTTAGACAGAGAGTCACCGCTGATGACACACTGGACCTGGTGACCGTTAATCTCTCTCGTAGGAACACCAAACAACGAGCTGACAGTGGTAGTTGTATCGTTGTCATACTGGGTGGAGTTTGCCGTCGTCCTCACTTTGTCTCCCAAAGCACCAGTGAGCCACCTCACCTCTGCAGGAGGCTTCGAGCCAGCAGCCGTGCAGGTAGCAAATAAAACCTCTTCTGTGCCCAAAGTGGGAAGATTGTCCTTGACGCTTGTGAAAGGAGGCACTAGGAGAGGTACAACACACAATTAGTCAACATGCGAGCAACATGGTAAAATGTCTGTCTCACAAACAAACACCCACAATATTTTAAATAAAGTTGTTGTTTTTTTTATATACCAAGCACGTTTAGAGGTATCTCAATCTTCTGATTTCCACTGGGAAACAAGGTGAAGATGCACGTGTAGCTGCCTTCATCCTTCAGGGCAACATTGGATAACTGGAGAGTTCCATTTTTGTTGTTAAAATTCCCGATATATTTAAATCGATCATCACCTCCATTGACAAACTGCACTCCCTCTCTGGGTAAGATAGTGAGGAAATTGTCATTGTGAGGTTTTTCTCTCGTCTTCCTCTGCCAGGTAATCTGTGTCAGGTCATCATTGGTACCAGTGACATAGCACGATAAGATAGCAGTACTTCCTTGTTTCACTGTCACACTTCCGCCAATCACCCGGAGAGCTGTAAAGTACAGAAAACGTGATTAAGGCAGAGCTGAAAATAGAAACAAAAGAGAATCCAAGTACATTCATATCAAAGTGTGATGAACTCTTTTGTTTTTGCGAGTTTGTGTATGCTTCATCTTTCAAACAAATTTTGAAATTAAGCTGTTTAGACATTGAAAAATAACTATGAAAAATATTTATAACTAGTTTCTGTGGTGTTAAATCTACTCAAGCTTTAAACTTATTTTGTTCATCAAATGATCAAAATAAGAAAATACACAGATGTCTGGTAACATAACACAGCTTATTTTCTTCAACTCCATGTAAGCCAGTCAAGGTTATGTGCGTAGTCATGCGCCCACCTCCACTCTTAACAGAGGAATGAAAACAATATTCTCCAGCATCCTCACCATGCCCTTATATAGTTTCATAGTTAATAATAATAATACTAATAATAATAATAATAATAAACTTTATTTATAAAGCACACTAAAAAACCAAGGGTATACCAAGGTGCTTGAGAAAAAATAAAATAGGAAAAAGGAGATGGGAGGGAAAAGAGAAAGGACCTGGCACGTATCAATTATAAAACCTTGACAATCATAATATATAAAAGTATTTAACAAGCATAACGGATAAAAATGTACCAACGCACACCAAATGTTACCTAGGTGGAAAAGCAAGATTAAATAAATAAGTCTTCAGCCGTGATTTAAACAGTGGCATAGAGTCAGACGCCCGGATATCAACAGGAAGATTGTTCCATAAGACCGGGGCAGCTACAGCAAACGCACGGTCGTCGCGAGATTTCAGCCAAGAACGAGGTTGCTCCAGAAGAAGTTGGGTAGCAGATCTAAGTGCTCTGACAGGAGTGTGTAACCTGAGAAGCTCATTGAGGTAGCTTGGCGCCAAATTATTAATAATTTTGTAAGTGAAAAGTAGTATTTTAACTTGAATACGGTACTTAACTGGTAGCCAGTGCAAGCCAGCAAGAACAGGAGTGATGGAAGAAAACTTCCTGCTACCTGTCAAAAGGCGTGCCGCCGCATTCTGGACAGTCTGCAATCTAACAAGAAGGGAGGAGGAAAGGCCAATGTAAAGAGAGTTGCAGTAGTCCAACCTGGAAGTCACGAATGCGTGAATATGTTTTTCCAGGTCATTGTGTGGAATATAGCGCTTAGCCTTAGAAATGAGGCGCAGCTGATTAAAACTAGACCTCACAACAGCAGACACTTGCTTGTCAAATTTAAATGAGCTATCCAGTAATATGCCCAAATTACTGGCATAATCAAACGGTGAGCTAGCAAAAGGCATCAGAGCAGCACACAATTGGTCGCGGGGATTTTACTATCGAACACCACGATCTCCGTTTTCTTTTCGTTCAGGACAAGAGAATTTCTCTTGAACCAATCTTTAACCTCACGCATGCATTCATAAAAATAGTGAAAGAACATAGCAAGATTGTCAGTAATCTCAAAAATAAATCTGTATATCATCAGCATAGCAATGAAAGGCAATATTAGACTTCTCAAAAATTGCTCCAAGAGGGAGCAGATATAGTGAGAAGAGAATAGGTCCTAATACAGATCCTTGAGGCACACCACAGCGTACAGGTACCGAGGAAGATGAGAAGTTGCCCAAATTAACCGAGAAAGACCTGTCAGCAAGATAAGATTTCAAGTCAAGTCAAGTTGGCTTTATTGTCACTTCAACCATATACAGTTTAACAGTACACAGTGAGGCGAAACAACGTTCCTCCAGGAACCAAGGTGCTACATGCAACATAAATTTACAACATAAATTAACAGAAAACACTAAACTAGCTAACTAAGAGGCCTAGTTAGCTGGCTAGCAGAGACAAGACAGACTGACCTAACATAAATTACAACATAAATTAACAAAAAAAAAACGAACAACCAAAGAAGATTGTTTTTTTTTTTGTTATCAGACAGCAGACAACAAAGTGCACGTGCAAATGTGCAAACAAGAGCAGCAAAGTGACAGAATGATAGAAAAACGCATTTAAACCAGTTGAGGGCAGTGCCTCTTATACCCATAGTATGCTCAAGTCTTAGTAGAAGAATCTAAGCAAGGCCGTTTCAGTGCTATGCCGTGGCTTAAAGGCAGACTGAAATTTCTCTGCAATGTTGTTCGCGTCTAAATCTGCCTGAAGCTGAGAAAGAACTAGTCGCTCCAGGATCTTGGACAGAAACGGAAGCTTAGAGATTGGTCTATAGCTCAAAAGATCATAACCTTCAAGATTCTTGTTTTTCAGGATAGGCTGGACTACAGCATGCTTAAAGGCCAGTGGGACAGATCCAGAGAGTAGAGAAAATTCATTAAGAACAGAATGCTCCAATTACATCAAAGCAGCCCTTAACAATGCGTGATGGGAGAATATCAAACACAGCATTGTGTTTTTCAGTTGATCAACCAGCTGCTTCAGAGTCTCAGTTACAGTTAGCTACATAAAAACTCTGTATTGTAGTTCAGTAACATGTGACCATCCTGTTAGGCCATTGCTTGGATTCATCTGTTCTCTCATTGACTTATAAATAACATTATATGAAAAATGAACAATAAGCAACATTCTTGAGGGCATATGAGGAAGAGAGTAGTGCTACTAATTATACAGCACGTCCATGAACAAAGAACTACTATTTATTGTATCAACACAAACTGAAATTACAAGCAGAAACCATCAATTTCAAGTTAAATATGCACATGTAACAAATAGATAATAAATGATAATACACCACCATTCACTTTTATGAACCACAAAGGTCGTTTAAAAAAAAAATAATAATAATAAGACCCTGCAGCGCACATTGACGCCATATGTCTTGTGAGCCAAATCTCTGAAGTGAATGTGATAATAAGGAGCTGCAGTGGACAAATACAACATTCAAATTCAGTTCATCGTAGCCTAGTCACTACAAAATACCTTCTACATCAGCACATAGAAGAGACACGATCACGAGAAGGACACGTAGCAGCGCAGAGTCACATATGGACGGTATAGGAAGCAGCTCCATCCATCCGCTAATCATCGCTGTCCACTAATCCTAATATTTACGCATTCCAACTTCCGGGAGAAAAAAGTCCACAGCACAAAAATGCTAGAACACAACAGAACCGATGATTCTGTTGGGAGTCTAGCAAAGGAAGTAGGCGGGCTATAAAATGGCTGGATACTTACAGCGACACACAGAGAGAGGAGCAGGGGGGGGGACGGCTAAATAACACGTTTCACGCAGGAGATGAATTAAGGATGCAGCTTTCTGTTCAGCCTTTTAAACAGCGTAACCGACGAAAACACGCGTGGCTTTACCTTAAATGTACATCAAAACAACGGCGATCACGGGGAGGACCAAAATCCGTGCTGTCTGAGAAAAGAGTGGGTTTTTTTTTTGGTTTGTTTTCAGGGGAGCATCCAGGATTTTCCTTAATTGGTTACCACAGGACCCGAAAACCAGACAGAGGGGCTCACATGAAATCTGAATAAAACACTGGGCGCAATTTTCAGGTTAGTATACACCACTGTGTCCTGTTGTCAAGAAAACATGGTGCTGCACAAGGGTTTAACCCTCTGGGGTCCAGGGTATAATTGGCCGTTTTTGACTACTTTTGATTTTACCTCTATATTTCACCTTTAAAAACTGTTTATCTTGCCTTGTTTGGTATTATTTTTTTCAGCACAACCTCAAATATCTGAAATTTGAGTTATTTTTCATTTTGGTATACTATATTAGCACAATTGATCTAAATTCAGACAAAAAATTCAAAATCCAAATAGAAAAAAGTTATTTTTTTACTGTAAAACCCACAAACACGTTTAACGAATCATTTTCATAAATTGAAATGCAAATAGAAATTGTACGTTTCTAAAAATTATGCACAAGTTTTGCAAACAACAAAGTTATATGGTATTATTTACCTAAAAATGCAGCCAAGGCCTCAGGCATTTTTTATATAACCATTTAAATCTATTTACAGAACAATCAGGTGTTCTGCATCAAATAAGAAGGCACACAAATTATTTGTGCCAGTCCAAAAAATAGTTTGTGTTCAGTATAAGACAGAGGAGAGCAGCACAGGCCTAAACCCTGCAGGTCTGACAACAGGAGGTGCATCAGTCCTGTTTTCCACGTGGGAACAGTGTTTACACTGGAATCTTCCTTTGGTGGCTTTTTTGGAGCAAATGTGACATTCAGCAGTATAACTGACACACAATACAAAACAATAACTACACAACACACTAACTACAGCCTCCAAACACACTAAACGTCACTAATGTCTCACATATGAAAACTCGCTCTCTCTTTCTTTCGCTCGCCCGCTTGTCACTGCTAAAACTTCCCCTTCTCCCTAAACAACCAAGTACCACATGTTGCCATATGATTTTTTAGATTGGCTGGCATGGTAAACTCTAACACCAATAGGGAAGGGGTACCTTGTTGAGTAATTGTTTTACAAAGCAGGAATAATGTATTTAGATTTTTTCCTTCAGTAAACAGAAAATAGTGAAAGCTTCTTAGGTAGGATGCAAGGGCGTAGATTTGGCATGGACGTAAGGGACATGTCCCCACCAATATCCAGCGATTATTGAATTGTCCCCACCAATAATCCTACGTCATGTGACAAATATGGCCAATGTGATTGGCTGTGCCTTTCAGGGAGCTCTATTTAGTTTTAGGAGCTGCAAGCCTGCGCTACGAGGACCTGCAAGGAGGAGAGGAGGATGGCAACAAAAAGGAAGAACCTGGATATAAGAAAGTATTTTTCAAAGAAACCTGTAAGTCACTTAAAGCCAAGTTAACTCATAAAATGTGTCCGTCATAATAATGTTACAGGCTATGCTAGGCTTTGGCCCACATCAGCCTAAAATAGTATGTAACCATGAACAACGTGTTTTGGAAACTAAATGCACAACAGGCAGCACTATCAATTATCTCAGTCTCCCAGAGTAGCAATCAATCAATCAAGGCTTTGTTTGCCACGTGCAGGTTGCCCTGCAGTGAAATAGGACACCTCCCCCCCGACCTTACACACACAACACAGACATCACATGGGGATACAGGTCGGAGATCGGTAGCGTTACAGAAAAAAGGGAGGACAGCATGAGAACAGGAAACAAAAAAACTCCTCTGCACAAAAAAGCACATAAATGTCCACAGCACAACATTATGGAACACGTGACAAGCCACAGGGTCGGGTGGGCGGTGAGGAGTAATCCGAAGCAAACACAGCAGCCATCCTGCCCAGCGCTACCATTCCAGCGCGGGCTCAGACCCGCCGTGTTCCCCAGGAGGGAACAAGCATCGAAGGCGTTTGGAAAGGGAGGGGAGATGAGTGTGTGCATATCAGTGTATATGTATGAGTGTGTGTATCTAGAGTTCAGCTGGGACAGTGTCCTTCGCCCTGCCAGGCTAAGTAAACAGTCTTCCAGCCAACCCAGGTGGCCTTGCATGGAATGGGAAGGAACAGACTAAACACAGTCGTTATCAGGGAGTTTTTGTTCGGCTCCAGCCTTGAGACCGCAGCTGGCGCTGAAAGGGTATCCGCATGAAGTGATGGTGCTTTTTACTTTAGTGCGAACAACTCATATGAATTTCAAAGCAGTTCTAACAGTCCAACACTGGTCTCTCAATCTCCCGTTGGAGAGCCGTGAGCTTCTCCATGATGTTATCAAACTTGCGCTCTGTGATGTTGTCATTCTTGTGCTCAAAGAGCCGATTCTGAGAACTCACGACTAGGGATGGGCACCGGTGTGTAAATGAGATTACACAACCGAAAAGCAGCGCACATTTCAGTGCTTTTTTTCGGTGATTTTTTTTCCTGAGATGTCACACACTTTGGATTCCAGCCAATCATTTTACCTTTGCAAGCGTAGTAGGCGGGCCCAGGTACGTACGTTCTTTTAGAGCAGAGCTACAGATTAAAAATGCCCAAGGTGAAGCGGTCAAAAGTCTGGCTGTACTTCACAGCAAAAGATGCAAACTCAGCAGCCTGCAAGAAGTGCTTTAAGCTGATACTGTGCAAAGGAGGCAACACCTCGAATCTGATGAAACACCTGGTGACGTATAGCGTTTTGTTAAAAGCCGAGAAATGCGCTGTATTTGATAGCTTGCTGTGAGACCTCACACCGTGCACATCTACTGCGCTTGGGTTGCCTGTTATCTGACCCGGACTTAGCAACATCCCCCAAAAACCTGAAGAGTAGAGTCCTGGCCCCTAGCCCTGCCAGTGTAGCAGAAATGATGACGGATGATGATGGCAGCAACAGCCGTTCTTCTCTGGGTCAGTAGCTTAATGTTGTTTGTGTGTAATTTACGTTGAGTAGGCTAACTGCGTTATTACATTAATGCATGTAAGGTGAACTAGCAAACATCATCATAGCTACATGTGTCTGTCTTCTTGTTTGATGGCAGATACTCCCTTCACCCTGGCCAAAAAGGCTAAAATGACCAAAGAAAAAGTGGAAAACAGTTAAACATGAGAGGCTTTTGGACAAAGTTTGTGTTTTCCATTGTTTAAGTACTGCTTCCAGCCAAGAGTGATGCCATAAATCCCCTATAGCTGCAGAAAAGTCTAACATTGTTATCTTTTTACAAAAAAAACAAAAACAGCTGAACATGAGAGGTTTTTGGACCAATTTTTTGTTCTCCATTCTTTAAGCACCGGTTTGAGCACCAGTTTGAGCACAGTTTAAGCACCGGCACCGTTTCAAAAGTACCGGTTTGGTACTGGTATCGGATAAAACCTAAACGATACCCATCCCTACTCACGACCACAGTGAGCCTCAAAGAGTGAGTAAGGTCAACAATGACTCAAATGAGATTACACAATCCTGATGTATGCCATGACCACCAAGAGAGACTGGACAGTATAGATGTAAACCCTTGGTAGGATGCTTAGGTAATTCACATCTGGGAGATCTTAAAATTTAAAAAATATACAAATTATTATATTATTATTTGTTGACATTATTAGAATTTTGCTCCTCAATTTAGATGATGCAGTAAAACCAAGAGATGTGTGATGAAATGTGTGAGCTGATTTCTTGGCACTACCTTATAAGTGATCAGCCAGAGACCATTCATTAAACCCTTCTTTGCTTCTTCTCCAGTTAAGTTCAGACAGGCTGCACAGACCTTAGAGAAAATGGTGTAGAGCGCCAGGGGTGTCTTTCTGTTCAGACATCCAAACATCAGATCACCAGGTCAAAAAAATGTATTTTACTGACTTAATCTTCCAAATTAATGAGGTACAAGATCAGGACCTTTTGAAAACAAAACAAAACAAAAGGCTTCTTAGTCATATGAACTGTAACATGTCTCCTGTTTTCATTCTTTTTAAATCACTGGAATTAGAATGTAAGTCATCTAGTCTGGCAACTTTCTGAATAAAGAACAATTGTTAGTTGCATGGGCTTTTTTATGGCAGCTCCTTCCTCCTCATTAATCTAACAGTGCCTCTTTGTTTGGATTCCTTAGACAGTTTCCCTTTGTCTAGGATTCTCACTAAACAAGCCTCTTGTTATTTTTTATTTAACCTTTATTTATACAGGTAGTCCCACTTAGACTGGGCTTCATACCATCTAATCCTGCAGATGATCTGCAGGGAGTATGCACAACTCCCTAGTGATCAGGGGCAGATCTACAGGGGTGGCATGGGTTGTAATCTCCTACCACACCTAGTGGCAACCTGATTTTACAAAATTCTAAAACCGCATAATGTATTGCATATGATTGCCCCCCCCCCCAAACAAACAAAAACAAAAAACAAACTAAAACTAGAACACTGTAAACTATTAAAATTTCCACACAGCCTCAGTGATCAGGCTCACCATAAATCCTGGCATAGTTCATAATTTAAATACAAAAATTAACATTTATATTCAAGAGAGCAAAAAGTCATGGCCCCAGTAAATAAACAAAAATGTCATATGCAGAGATATTTTATTTATTTATTTATTTATTTTTGTCATTGTTGCATCTTTGTGTGCGATCCAGTAACCTTGTTTTGCAATACAAGAACTACACAGATAATTATGGAAGGTTATTATTCTCTTGATTATTGTTCCAAGTGTGACCTGGATCAAAGGTCACCCAGTGTGTCCTTTCTCTTATATTCTCCATAGCAAGCAAGTACTAAAAACAGAGGCTTAGTAAAGAGAACATATCAGTCACAGCATTTTGTGAGAAGTGAGAATGTAATAACAAGTTCCTCTAACCAGTTCTCAGAGCTCAACATGATACTAAAAACAACCCAGTTTCTGAATCTCATACAGGTCCCTGCCTGGGGCTCTTGAAAACAGGAACAAAACACAATAGGAGCTGTGGGGAAAAAATATATGTAGTATTTGATAATACTGGTGGTACAGATGCTGACTTATATTGAGCCCGTTTTTAGGGCGTACCCATGACAGATTAGCTTAATACAAAACAAGTGATCAGCACAACAATATTATCACAGAACATATGAAAAGCATGTGCAACGTAATCTGATCAGGATGCCTCCGGCACATGTCCCACATGTATGCGGTCCCCGAGGCAGGTCCAGGACATGCTGGCAAGTTTACATCACTCAGATGGCTTTATATGATTGAAAAAGGTTAAATAAGTCGCTGGGATGAGGAAGATCTGGGCATGTCTAAGACAGCAGCTCAAATGGATAAGTGGTAGCAAATGACTGGATGGAAGGAGACAGAAATCTAAATGTAATAATATGAAAACAGGATTTTGGAAGAATTTCTAAAAATGTTTTCCCCAGTACATGGATAGGAGTGCAATACTGTGGACAGTTTCCCTTTAGAATGCAAAAGATTTTAGCAATTGTACTGATAGTGCAGATCTATAGTTTCAGATCACCTACAAAGACACAATGAAGCTAATAAAAAGTTTAGTTAGCCAACTCAACCAGTGGAATTACAGTAAAAATATCTCTCCTCACAGCACGTGAGAGACTGAAGTTCTGTCTCACAAGACTTATAATTATCACGTATTTCCTGTTTTTGTGACAGAAGTCAGTTCACAACCTCATGATCACATGCTGAGTTATGACACTTTGGTCTGTGTATCAAATTTATCCAAAGTATCCAACTGTGATCCTAAAAACTACCTGAAAAGCCTTCAGTTGACTCAACATGCTGCAGAGTACTGACAGTGACTAGAAAAAGAGAGCATATTTCTCCCATACTGGCTTCTCTTCATTGGTTCCCTGTTAAATCCAAAATCATATTTAAAATCCTTCTCCTCATATACAAGGTCTTGAATAATCAGGCCCAGTCTTGTCTCAAAGACCTCATAGGTCTGTACCAACCCAGTAAAGCATTTTGCTCTCAGACTGCTGGTTTACTTGTGGTTCATAGGATATTTAAAGGTATTATGGGAAGCAGAGCCTTCAGCTTTCAGAAGCCACTGCCTTGGGTGCAACCTCATGAACAAAAATATCACTTTGGGCCAGACTGCTTTAATATTGCAAATCATGCCAGTTGTGAAAAACAGGAGGAGCCCAGGAATTATTAGAAAAATATAGTTTCCATTTATTTAACCCCCAAAAATTATATTTACAAGACTAATAAATGTTGAGCTCATAAAAGAGGTCAAAGAAACAAAACTGAACTCAGGCACAGACTGCAACCTTAACAAACCAAATGACTGCCCAAACACACATAATTGACCTAAAACATGAAATGACATACAAGGGTATAAATAATGGCTGATCAAACCATTGTGACACATGAGGGGTAACAAACAAACACAATCATAAACCACAAACGATGCAGTACAATCTAGTTTGTTAATAAAC